TTTGTATTAGACCTTTGCTCTTTGCATTGTGACCCAACATTTCTGCACAGTCCTGCAGTCAGTTCATTAACTGTGCCGCTTCTGTGTTTTTCCAAGCACAACTTGAGCTCAAGCGGAGTAGGATTGTGGGAACGCGACGTGTTTGCCCCTCAGGCCTTGTAATGATTTGAATTGACTTCTGATTGCCCAATTGTACTGCAGAGCTTATTTTAGTTAAATGCCTCTTTGGTTGCAGATCAGGAGAGAGAAGGAGCCGGCTGCTCCGTTTGCCAAATAAACACGTTTACCGACGATGCTGGTAATGATCTCATTACATGGAGCCAATACACCTGTGTACGAGTGGAGGGTGGGGGCGGGGGAACTGGATGGTGGGGGCCGGTTGGCCAGGGAGGACAAACAAAGCGTGAAATCACTAAATCACACTCATTATTGTGGGATATCAGTGGGGCCAGGATCCTAATGTACCATGAAGAGCATTCACTGCTTAATGGACATTTTACACATTTTTATGTTTTTAATATATTACAGTAAAACACAATTTCAACAACAGCCGAGCCATTTACTATATTTCTGTTACCTCATGAAGCCCCCAAAGTGAGCCGACACGCCATCAGAGGCTTTTGTTGTCGTCTCCCAGCTTTTTAAGGCCGTATTCTCTCATCGTCTTTGGGTTTACGCTGTTTATATCTAATTAGAATAAAACAAATCTGAAACGAGCGCTGCATGGTGGAAGGCCTGCTGTGTGTTGTAAAACGGCTCATGGCGTCTGTCGATCCCCAAGCAGGAGAGAACCCCGGCGTCTGACCTCTTGTCATGTAGCACTATGAGCGTACAACGCTGGAACAGGATCCTTTCGTTGTACACCTGACCAAGAACTAATTTCACTGCAAGCCCTCTCCACCGGTAACATGGGCAAAGGGGCGGAGAGTCCCTGTTATAGCAACGCCGCTCTCGTTATTTCACAATTAATGTCAAGCCCTTGTTATTTGTCATCACAAATACATGGCTCTGGTGCCGCTGCCTTTGTCGCTGCCATATTCTAATTTGTCCTCCATTATGGAAAACACTAGTGTCGATTAATTTCACTTTCATGGTTTGTACACACAACAAGTGAGCGGGAACTGTTGTTGTTTACCAGAAGCAACTACTCTTGTCCAATTTATGGGGGCTGAAAAAAAATCATGCCTTGTTTTTAGAATTTGTTATAGAAAATTTTGTATATAGACTATTCACAACACCAGACATCTCCATCAATTAGTATCATGATATACTGTAATAGTTTCCACTTTAAAATGAGAACTTTATCGAGCCCTGTGACTGTTGTAGACAACAACTTTACAATTTTCTGCTTAGACTTTGTACCTGAATCATCTTTTTTTTCTTAAAGGAATAAATATTTTAAGAACATATTTATTCAGTAAGAATATAAATGTCTTTGGTTGTTTTTTTCCTGTGGAAGTTCTTTATTGTTTTTTTTTCTTTTTAGCTATAGATTAAGATGATTATAAAGTTCTATCACCTAACATCTTTTTTACCTCCTGTTTAAAAAGGTGTTAAGAGTAAGTTTTGCAGATTGTAATGCAAACACTGCTTAAATGAGAGCATAAGGAAACAAGACGCTTATTACAGTTGTACATTCTGTAATGTGGGGGAAAAAAAAGCTTTTTAAAAGTGAGAAAAAATGCTGGTCTTCAAATAGAGAATTAGATAAGCTGTTCACTGAATACTCAACCAAAGTTAAGGTATTTTGAATTTTGTTCTCTGGGCTGGTGAATCAAACATAGTATTTGACATGTGGGTGGTTCTGCTCAGGGTAAATGCCTTTTTTAAGGGGAGGATTAAAGAAACCAGAGATTTTGCATTCCCTGTTGAGATCTTATTTGTTGAATGTTACAAAAAAGATGCATAAACTGTTCCACCTTACTTGACTAAGGTATTACATTGTTCATTGTTTGTAACAAGAGTTCACAGGCTTCCTCTGCCAGGCATTTATTAATCATAATCTAAACTAGATCAATGTAATGATCCATTTGTTTCCATGTTTAAATCTGTTAAATGTCTTACATTTATTATGAATAAATAAAAAAAGGAAACTCGTACAACTTTGAATGCATTCTGTTAAGGTTTCTTTCATTTTCAGAGGAGAAATTGCCTCACAGCAAACCCTTATCCTTTTTTAAGGTAGATTTATATCGAGCATTTCTTGCATAAAGGCTTAATGTTTTTCACGTTTCATCAATTGTTCTTGTTAAATATACAAAAGGAAACTTGCATTACAAAAGGAAATGTTACATTTGTGATGGTAGGACAGACAGGACATCTAAGCACTTGGCATGGAGGTGATGAACTCATAAACTCACCCCCTGTTGGAGTCCCCTTTATTACATCTCCCTCACTGTGTGTAGTAGAAAAATAAACCAGCCTATTCATTAGAGGCAAAAAGAAATGAGCCCCGATGTCTGAAATGAAAAGATTAATAATGAGACAGAAACCTAAAAAATAATGTATGAATTAAAAAGAACTTTAAAAAACTGGACTGATTTTGAAGTAGGTTTTTTGAAGCCCTGGTATTTGTGACCACTGTAGGGAAGCAAAAAGAGTTTTTTTCTTAATTCAGTGTTATTTTAATGGAGGTTACGTGGTTGGTTTGCTCTCAGCTTACCCTGGGTTATAGTTTATTGCTTTAGGAAATTCCTGTTTATTTCTAACCATGCAGGGTCGAGGATTTCAGCGTATTTTACATTATTCTCTGTGGCATCCTTGCCAGATTGAAACCTACGAATCATTAATAAGCCTCCTTAGACCTTCATGTAATTTCTAAAAGGAAATTGTATAATTTCATTCAAGAGCATCTAAACCACAAAATACATAAAACTCCAAAAGACTGGAATTTAATACACAGCTTTAGGATTACAGATTATTGTTTTCAAAGGTTTCATAACACATCAGCACCGCACCGGTATAGCAGATTTATAAGTTAATAAACATCTAAAAAAGGTAATGAAACAAATGTTCTTTTGGCCTTGGCTAAATGAGGTTCAGTCATTGTTGAGATGTAAGAAATCAAGCAGCCCCTGGAAAAGGAGAAGAATATTATTGAAAAATTTATTTTAGTAACTCAATTCACTTAGTGAAACATATTAAATAGATTAGCACACTGATGTTTTTAAGACTTTCATTCTAATAATTCTATTCATTTCCTGTTTACAGCTAATAAAATAGCATGATTTTAAGGTAATAACAATATGATCATTAAAAAACAAATTTTAATGGCAAAATAATACCCATGGCTTTTTTACCTGCAGGAAAGGATGTTTGATGTCTGCCGAGAAATCCAGATGCTTTCAGAGATATTTGTTTGGAGCTGTCCAAATATAACCAGTTACTCTTTTCCTTGCAGATGTAAAGGCAGTGCATGTACTTGCAGCCATAAATAATCTTTCCTGTTATCTAGGAGGCCAAGATCAGCAGGAAAAAGCTGTGTTGTAGATGTTTCCTGTAGGTTAGCTCTAAGACAGGCTCGATGCCTGTAGTTTTAATTTTTCTTCACTTCGTCATCTTCTCCAGGTTTCAGTTTTATATGAATTTATCCACCCGTATATCATAGCTCATAGTCATAGGTGCTTTTTCTGAAGAGAGAAAGGTTGCTTTTGTGGAGAAGTGGTCCAAAATTTCCAAACTAATAGATTGAAAATTGTTTTTTTTATGCTGGACATGTTTGTGAAAAGTGCCAATTTTTTTTCTAAAAACAAAATCAAGTGTGCTTTTATCATTTCAGACAATACTGAAGATGAAACTTCATAGGTGTGCTTTTTCTACAAATATAAAACCAGTTTTTACCTGGCCTGCATTTTCCTGGGGATGCCCTTGTTTTTAGGTTTATTTCCTTCAACTAAAGCATCTCTCCTGTCAGCCATAGCCCCCTATTACACCTAATAAGGTGTCATATAATTTCCTTTCCATGCCTCACTTGTCAGAGAGGGATTCCAGTCCTTTTCCAATTTTGAGTTTTAATGGATATTAGTCCTTAACACTCTTCTAACAATTAGGCCTCCCAGTTTTCCTCTTAATGAAAATCAGATTAAGACATATAATCTAATTACAGTCCATATTAATCTACCCTCTGCTGCACTCTGCCCACTGTCGTCACTCTCATCTTATATGCATATATAAATGTGCAGTAGTTTGTATTTAGATTGACTTAGTGCTGCTAAACTTCTCTTCGATACTATGAGGGATAGTAAATGTCAAAGGAAATGAAAAATATGGCAAAGAAAAAAGTTGATCTCATAAATTAATTTAACCTACGGGATGAAATGACCCATTTAGGCTTGTAATTTAGAAATGAACTTCTCTCACTCTATCTCCAGTTTTTGTCAGTTTTATCGTGGCTACATGATTTGGAAGGAGCCATGAAGCAGAGTCAGACTGATAAATTCTGCGTATATATCTGCAGACCCCCGTTTCATGGGAGAAACGCACTTATCAGAACCCCTTTTGATGTGCTGAAATATCACTCGGAGATTTAGTTTGAGCGGCATGTCTGTTTTCATTTGGCTTCTCTCATTATAAACCGTTTTTTCTTAATTACAGCCATCACTGTGTAATTATTAGCATAATTAACAACTCATTCTCCCCCCCCTCCCCCTTCGTAACCCGGTGTGAGCAGCAACGGGTTCCTGAGAACCGTCAGGCCAAAGTCAGAACTTGATTGGAGATGAGAGGGAGAAGTCTTGAGCCACAATGATTCAATCGGTTTCATCACTTCAGAGAGAAATGATTAACTCCTGCTGCTAGACCACTGGGCTACTCAATAAAATAAATTATATGGAAAATTGATGAAGATTTTAGCTCGCACCCACACGCCCCCACCGCCGCCTCATTAGATTCAGCCGCGTAGAATCAAAGATATTTTCTGAATAAATCTAATCTTTGAAGAAGTGCTCGCTTTAATTTTTTTTTTTTAACCTCATACTTTTGTCTCCTCTCGTGTGTCTCAGGCTTTGAGACGGCCAGGTCGTTTGCTCTTCACGGAGCCCATGTCATCCTGGCTTGTCGAAACCTGTCTCGGGCCAGCAAGGCTGTCAGGCTTATAGAGCAGGAGTGGGTAAGTGTAAATTTATGTTACCTTCTGTTTTTTGGAGGCATAGAGTCTTCTGACATGGTTAAAATACTGTTATTAAAATGATTTAAATGGACTAAAGTTAATAAAATAAGCTTATAAAGAATTTTTTTTAAAAATATAAAGTTATTTTAATTAAATTTAGAAATACTGGCGGCATGTCTGCCTACTGGAGAATATCCGGAAATTATGGCGACCTGTCCGCCTTTCGCCCATAGACCCCATGACCCTGATGGATAGGCCCAGAAGATGGATAGATGAATTCAGAAATGCATCAATATGAAGGACATAAATATCAGTTTAAAAATGCTTCCTTGGTTTGTGGGTCAAAACTTTGTACCTTGGAACATAGTACTAGCCTTTCTAGATAATGATATTTGTTATATTTCAATAGTTTCTATTTCATTATTAAATAAACACAACCTGCAGCTTAGAAGGCCAGCATAATACACAGATAGACACAAACACTTTTAAAAATGATTCAAATAAGCTATAGAAAAAAGACAATTTAAGAAAATCCATAAAAAAGCATGGACTGTTGTCCGCTCTGCTAACAGGCTTTGCAGCTTTAGCTGCAGGGCCAGCAGGTACTGCAACAGCTTCCCCCTCTGCCATCAGAATGTTGAACTCGAAAGTGAATTCTGCATCACACTTGTAATATTAGTTTGCACTACCAACATGGCTGATTTTTTTATAATCCTTTTGAACTGGACATAACTCAGTGTTGTACTACATTTTGCACCATATTTGTTTATTTTGCACTGCACTGAACCTCTCCACATTATTGCCCCTTTGCACCATTATTCTTAGCTTAACAGATCACGGCTTCACCTAATAATGCAATAAAGCTGTATGCAATGACATTTTGTTTTGTATACACTCTGTGTCTACAAAATGACAATAAAGTTTGTCTAGGTCTAAAAAAGGAAAAAGGAAACTAGACATGCTTTTTCCCCCCATCTTTTTATTGTCATTACACTCATGATTGCAGAGCAACGAAATTCACTCTGCATTTAACCCATCCTTGGGATGGCATTGTGCAGTGCCTGCGGAGCAGTGTGAGGTTAAGTGTCTTTGCTCAGGGAGCCAGAGTGGCAGTGTGTGGGAGTGGAGCTCAGAACCTCTGGATTCCAAGCGCAATGCCCCAACCACTAGGCCGCCACTCCTGCCACCACTTGTAGAAAATATGTCATCCTTAGATGAAATATGTGATATCTGCATTGAGTGCAGCTTGTTCCCACCTACTTTATGAGACGGGCTGATGGTCGTGTTGATCAGCATCAGCAGTGTTTGTGTTTGGGAATGTGTAGCTGGAGGTGGGAAGATGGAAGTTTAGGACTTCTACCAGGGGATGGGATGTTGGTGTTTGCCTACATGGGTTTGAGTTCTTTTACAACTTTGGAAGAGAAGCTGTTTTTCAAGTTTGTTTGTTGGATTTAGTGCAGCTGAACTGTTTTCCTGGTGGAATTAGGACCAAAAGTCCCTCCTCCGTGTGGGTTTGGCTCCATGAAAGTGCTTTTGGTACTTTCCTGGACGTTTGCAGCGGAAGCAGAGTCCCGATCTGGCAGACAACATCCTGCAATCCCCTTTGTAACTACCTTTGCTAAGTCCCTCCTACCATGTGTCAGGCAGCTCCCGTACTGCACAGTGATGCTGAGGCACAGGATTTTAGTCGTGGCCCTCTGAAAGTTTGGAAACCAGCTGAGAAGACAGTCCAGGATGTGTCAGCTTCCTGAGAAGAACGATCCATTGTTGGGTCCTCTTTACACACTGGGAGGTGTTCTCAGTCTTACAGAGGCTGAGAAACCTAATGCTGTCCACACGTTCCTTCCCCTTCTGGTGTAACCTTAACACACTTGCCTGTCTTTACATTTCTAAAAGGTAGAGGATCCCATTTGGGACAGTGGCGTCGGGTGAAAAACTCTGTAGAACAAGAAGGGAAGGTAGGAGTAAATGTGAAAGGGCATCTGATAATTACCTTAAGATTATTGCTCTAATATTGCAGCACTTGTGACGTGTTTGCCCTGCAATCGGAGGGTTCTTTGTTTGATCCCCGTTTCCGGCTTTCAATGTTATTGTGCCCTTGGGCAAGACACTTCACCTGCATTGTCTACTGATGGTGGTCAGACGGCCTGGTGGTGCCAGTGTACGGCAGCCCCGCTTCTGTCAGCGAGCCCCAGGGCAGCTGTGGCTACAATGTAGCTTGCCACCGTCAGTGTGTGAGTGTGCCTGAATTGATGAATGAATGAATGTAGTGTAAAGTGCTTTGGTCAAGTCTCCTGACTTGAAAACGTGCTTTATATATAAAGGCTATTTACCATTTTTTTGTGTATGCTTTGGAAATTAAACATGAGCAGGTTTCCAGACCCTTAAAAATTAGAAAAATCTGACATCAAGCTTAGAAACCTGATATCATTTGCTAATTTAAGATCTCAATATTTTTGCCTGATCCTTTTAACTGCCAAGTTCTGTCTTTTACCTCTAACTAAATCCAAGGATTCTTAGATTCATAAAGAATCTAAGGTATTATTTAGATGACAAAACTTTTCACTCGTGTTTTGCTCAGATGTAGTTTATAAGTGAAGACTAGATTTGGAATTAACTGCAAAATTAAAACCAGTTCCTATAGTCTCCACTGTTCTCTGGAGTAACACTAGAGCCTGTGTGTCTCTGTAGAACAAGAGTTAAAGGGAGGGAGGGTAGGGAGGGTGGTAGAGGGAGTAAATGTGAAAGGGCATCTGATAATTACCTGAGATTATTGCTCTAATATCGCTGCACTTGTGACATGTGCCCAGATTTACGAGTTTGGGAAAATAAACAAGCGAAATGTGGGTGCTGGAGCAGAAAGAATAAGCTATTAGTGCTGGGTTGATTACAGAGAGCATGACTTGAAGATGGAGGAGAGTGAGTGCTCTGTGCAGATATGAGAAGAAAGGCTGAGAGGGAGGAGAAAGGGGGGTGGCAGAGTAGGAGACAAACGCCTTTAAGCGTGAGTAGATCTACAGTGTTTAAACTCGCCAAAGTCTCTAATTGAAGTATGCCCCTGGGGCTGTCAGTGCTGCTCCACAGTGTGAAATCAACTGCTTTGTTTAAATGAGTGAGGAAAAGCTCCCAGTACCAGATTTTGTGCTACAATTGATTTTCCAGCTCTGCACCTGCCACAGATTCATCCCAGATCCTTAAATGTTTCTAAATGAACAAATTGATGCATCTATTAAAAGCATAAGTAAGCGTGACCTCTTGCATGTAAATGATAGTCTCCCATTTTGTGTTAAATTGGCATGTTGCCTTCGCAGATTTTTCCCCAATGTAACAATCGCAATAAGAATTTGGCTCTTAGAGCATTAAATGAACATTTCTGAAGCTGTCTTCCTTCACAGGAATCCCCCCTTTTAGAGGCTAATGAATTAAAGTCACAATATCAGAATAAATCTTGGCCACAAATTCTGCCCCTTTGCCGACATTATTAATAGATTCAGGAGAAGAATAGAGAGGAGGATTAATCTTTAAGATGATGGATGGCCTCTGCTTACCTTCCCATGCTCCTATGTTAAGGTCATTTTGATAAGTGAGTATATTTTGGGGATCCTCTGCAGTAAAGGTCACCATATCTACTTCCAGGTCTTTCACAGAGTTCCACTCTAGCTGCCAGGAGTGGAGCAGGCATCCCGATTGCAGGCGACCTCTGAACTCTAACTGCCTGCTTACTGTTCTCTGTAGCTGTTCTTTTCACTACGTAGCTCTTGAGCTGCGTCTCCCTGTGTGAGATGGCGTTCCTGCTCAGAGGTGAGAGTGATTGCATGCTTGAGGTTCCAGGAGGCATGGATCTGCACTGCCCAGTGCACTGACTATGGGTTTAATAGTGGCGTTCCTGACTGATAATGGGCAGGTCAGAGCGGCTAGGAAGAGCGGGTCAGAGGGCTCATTCTTCCCAGCAAATGGCGATGTGTTCAGAACAGTGCAGGACAAAACAATACAGCCAGCAGAACGTCCGGGAAGTAAGGAAATTCGGTATTTCCTCTCTGATCAGGTTTCTAGGTTTTATTTTAGACCTTTTTTCACATTCGAATGTTTGCTTTTAACTTTTGAATGTTTGTTTTTGACATCTTCATATTGAAATTCTTTTTGGAGTAACAGAACAATCCAAAGTAGCACATTAACCCTTTATAGGGCACTCAGTGAAATACTTTAAAGAATCCAAATTTCAAGCCAATAGTGTATTACCTTTGTAAAATTTAAAAAATATGGATATTTTGATGGCAAAAGTTAATGTCAATGTAATAACAGGAAACGCCAAGTTATCCAAATATATTAAGAAAAATAACAAAAGTGCTTCTATAGGAAATTCATGAAAAACAATCTTAAAGTAAAATAACACTGTTTTTTTGGTACAACATAACCTTAGAGGCATTAATGCTGATACTGAGACTTACATTCACAGAGTGAGGTTTTTTAATTTCTCTCTACTGTAATCACTGCCATAAGGCCCTGGGGGTATTTCTGTATCAGCATTGTAGATTCTAAAGTAAAATGTTTACCCTTTGCTCTTCTCAAAACTATTTTCAGTCAGACTGAATAAATAATATCAGCGATCAGCAATACTCGGGTGTTGTAGGTGGTTTTCAACAGGATTTAGGTCTGTACAGTTGTTTTTTTTTTTTAAGTCTTTGCAGCACTAGTGGCTCGTTTATTGTACAGTGGTCTGACAGGAAAGAGCGTACGAGAGAGAGGGAGAGACATGGGTTAAAGGACCGAACCCCAACGGCCACGTTGAAAACTAAGGCCTCTAAGGTCTAAGGTCATGCAAGCTAACCACTGCGCCACTGAAGCACACCCTGGACAGTTTGTTTCTAACCTATAAAAAAAGCTGTGAGTTAAATCATTCTGGAGATATGAAACCAAGTATAAACAAATAGATAGAAGGATAGTCAGAAAAACAGATTTTTTTGTGCTAAGTAGATTCATTGCACACATGTTTTACAACC